ACGATTACCACAGGCGAAAAGAGAGGAAGCTGAAACGATTGTTCAGGAAATGAAGAAAGACGGGGTGATAGAACCTTCTACGAGCCCATGGGTCTCTCCGGTGGTCCTGGTTAAGAAGAAAGACGGAACAACGAGGTTCTGTGTGGATTACCGTTTGTTGAACAACGTTACCAAGAAAGATAGTTATCCTCTGCCTCGGATCGATGACACATTAGACACATTGGCTGGAAGTAAATTATTTTCTACTTTGGACTTGAAGTCTGGATACTGGCAGGTAGAAATGGACCCGGTAGATAAAGAAAAGACAGCCTTCACCACAGGATCTGGATTATGGCAATTCAACGTTATGCCATTTGGACTTTGTAACGCTCCTGCGACATTTGAGAGGCTTATGGAAAATGTGTTGAGAGGGTTATCTTGGAAAACATGCCTAGTTTATCTAGACGACATAATCGTCTTGGGGAAGACATTTGAAGACCATCTGAAGAATTTAGAAAACGTTTTTAATCGACTTAAAGCTGCCCAATTGATGTTAAACCCCAAGAAGTGCCAGCTATTTCAAGGTAAAGTCAATTATCTGGGTCATATAGTCAGTAAAGAAGGAGTGGCCGTGGATAAGGGAAAAATCGATTCTATTAAGGAATGGCCAAAGCCAACTGACAAACATCAAGTGAGAAGTTTTCTGGGACTGTGTACTTACTACCGGAGGTTTATTAAGAAGTTTGCAGATATCGCTAAACCATTAACGCGACTTACAGAGGAAGCAAGAGAATACCGCTGGGATGTAGACTGCCAGAATGCCTTTGAAACCTTAAAAAAGCATTTAATCACAGCACCAATTTTAGGGTATCCACTGCCAGAAGGAGAGTTCATCTTAGATACAGATGCAAGTAATGTGGGAATTGGAGGAGTGCTGTCTCAGATTCAAGGAGGACAGGAAAGAGTCCTTGGATATTTTAGTAAAGTTCTCTCAAAACCTGAGCGAAATTATTGCGTCACGAGAAGAGAACTTCTGGCAGTAGTGAAATCAGTAGAGCACTTCTATCAATACCTCTATGGAAGAAAGTTTTTAATCCGAACCGACCATGCCGCCCTTAAGTGGTTGATGCAGTTTAAGAATCCAGAGGGTCAGATAGCCAGGTGGATCGAACGACTTCAAGAATATGATTTTAAGATTGAGCACCGGGCCGGGGTTAGCCACCGAAACGCTGATTCTCTTTCCAGAAGGCCATGCCCAGCAGAGTGTTCCCACTGCAACAAAACGGAATCCAAGGAAGCAGCAGTGCTAAGAACGACGGTGATCAACGACGACTGGATGCCTACCAAGATCAGGGAAGAACAAGAGAGAGATCCAGTTATACAGAAAATCCGAAAATGGAAAGAGGAAAACCGTCGACCACCTTGGCAAGAAATATCGAACCTAGGCTCAGTAGTTAAGACATATTGGGCCCAGTGGGACTCATTTATCATGGAAGATGGCTTGCTCAAACGAGTCCTGGAAAATGATGACGGTTCAGAGAAGAGAAGCCAGTTGGTGATTCCAAAGAGCAGAATAGCCGAAGTACTTCGTCAGTTACACGACAGTCCACCAGGAGGGCATTTTGGTGTGAAAAAGACCCTTCAGCGAATTCGGGAACGGTTTTATTGGATGAACAGTTCCGACGATGTAAAAGACTGGTGTAAGAAATGTACTATTTGTGCTACGAGTAACGGGCCTTATCGAAAAAGGAGAGCTCCTATGAGACAATATAATGTTGGAAGCCCGTTTGAAAGAATAGCTTTGGATATTGCTGGGCCATTTCCAGAAAGTGATAATGGAGGCAAGTACATGTTGGTAGTAATGGATTACTTCACTAAGTGGGTCGAGATTTACGCACTTCCAGACCAGAAGGCCGCCACCGTTGCAGATAAGTTGATCCAAGAATATATCAGCCGATTTGGAGTGCCTTTGGAGATTCATAGTGACCAAGGCAGGAACTTCGAAAGCGATTTATTCCAAGGAATATGTGATAGACTAGGTATGAAGAAAACAAGAACTACGGCTTATCATCCGCAATCGGATGGTATGGTAGAACGAATGAATAGAACAGTTGGCAAGTATTTGACAAAGATGGTGTCCGATCATCAGCGAGACTGGGACCAATATCTTCCGTTCTTCACAATGGCCTACAGATCTGCTGTTAATGAATCAACAGGCCAGACACCAGCCAGAGTCCTATTCGGACGCGAGATGCGACTACCTTGTGATCTAGAGTTTGGGTGTCGACCTGGAGAAGATGTAGCAGGTGAAGATTATGTGATCGAATTACGAAGAAGAATGGACGATGTACACGAGTTGGTCCGTTCCCATCTCCAAATCGCTAGTGACCGAATGAAGAAACGGTACGATACACAAGCCGAAAAGGGGTGTTTTAAGAAGAACGATAAAGTCTGGCTTTATAACCCCAAAAAGCGAAAAGGTTGTTCTCCCAAATTGCAGCAGTTTTGGGAAGGTCCATACCTCATTATGGAGAAGATCAATGATGTTATTTACCGAATAAGCAAGATTCCGAGAGGAAAGCCGATGATAGTACACCATAACCGGCTGGCGTCTTTCGAGGGTGACCACGACGTAGATGAAGAAGTGGAAGTAAACCAAGTCCAAGATGTGTCTGACCTCACGTTTGAGGAATTCATGGGTGCCTATGGAGGTACCGGTAAAGCAAGACATGGTGTTACCACTGAAGAAAGGCAAGATCTACTCGCGCTTCCCGATGACTACTCACTGGTCCTTACCATCCCGGCCAGTATCAAAGATGCACCAGGGTTGGCATCCGTCTTTCGAAGGAAGTTTGGTCGAGTTGCAGAACTTCAATGCCAAGTGCCAGCTCCTGGTAAAACCTTGAAACTTCAAGATGCATCACGTTACCTTTTCTAGCTGGTAACAAAAGACACTGCCCGTGACCAACCTACCTACCGAGATGTATGGGAAGCCTTACTTCAGTTGAGAGAGCACGTACTAGAGTCCGACGTGCAAAAGTTAGCCATGCCAAAGTTGGAGTGCCGCCAATTAGATTGGAGGGTTATACGAAACATGGTGGAGGAAATCTTTAAAGACACCGAAGTCCAGGTGTTAGTCTGTTGCAATCCGCATAGTTACTGCTGCGGAGAGAAAACCGTCCCTTGTCATTTCTATACAACTGGAAGTTGTAAAAGAGGGTCCAGTTGCCGATATCAGCATGTCGTTCCAGTTCCAGTCCTGACAAGGTTCCAGGAGGAACCATCTTTTAAGAGGGGGGCAATGTTACGATTTTAAATGTTATGGCATATAGAACTGTAAATATTTTATGACTAATTCTTTTTTATTGATTCTCGTAATTTGTAGGTCAAAATATACCTGAGCTTAGCTACCAGTTGTTTACAGAAATCTCTAGACACTAATTTTAGTGAGTCATCCACGTCTCGAGGTTGAAAAACGAGTCGAGCGCCTTCACCAAAATACGAGACTATTCAGGAAGTCCGCCGAATTCTCTAGATGAAAACAGTTGTGTATATAAATGAAAGATTTTTATTTGGCAGCCAGTCATAAGAAGATCGGGGAACGCGGTTTACTTGTAACGAAACGAAAATAAATTATTATTTGTAATATAAATTAGAATTAATAAAGACTTTAATAAATTCGTAATTAGTTATCGTGAGTTTTAATAAATTAGAATATAGACAATAAATTAGAATAAAGACAAATAAATTAGAACTATATAAACGTCACAGTATATATTAAATACCACCGGGAACAGAATGCATCCTTGCCTCACTCCTCTATCTATGGAGACTGCCTCTGTCAATTGATCATCCACTTTAATATTGGCTGTTTGGTTGTAATATAAATTATAGATGATTCTCAAGTCCCTATCATCTAACCCCACTTCTTTCAAAATGTTTATAAGTTTATCATGTTTTACTCTATCAAATGCCTTTTTGTAGTCGATAAAACAAATATACACATCGCAGTTAACATCCCTGCCTCTTTGCATAAGTACTTGGACAGAGAATAGAGCCTCTCGGGTGCCTAAGGAATCGCGGAATCCAAACTGCGTCCATGATACTTGTTCTTCGCATTTTTTATATATTCTGCCGTGTATCACTTTCAAGAACGTTTTAAGTAAGTGGCTCATTAGGCTAATTGTTCTGTAGTCTTCGCATGTCTTGGCATTTACTTTTTTTGGTATGGTCACGAAGGTCGACTTTAACCAGCTTTGGGGTATTTTTCCACTTACGTATATGTTGTTGAATACAGTTGTTATCCATTTTATTCCCTGTTCATCCATAAGTTTAAGGAATTCTGCAGAAAACTCGTCAGGCCCTACCGCTTTACCATCTTTAGTTCTTTTAATAGCTGACGTGACTTCTTCAATGGTAAGCGGGGGTCCTGTTTGGCTTCAGTGTCTTCAATGGTAGTCAATGGGGAGTCAATCTTCAATTGGGGAGTCACAGAACATAATAACAGTACAATACACATATGTTGATAGGGTTGCCTACAATAACATTCTGTCACTGACATATAATCTTTTAGTTAAGATGCATTTCAGCTCATAAAACAAATTTCCATCAAAATATCAAAAGTAAAAAAAGGGACTTAGAAGATTTTTGTTTACGCCGATTCATTTACGATAGTAATTAGAATATTTTAAATCGCTCTAAGCTTTTTATGTCAAGAGATATCATTTTTACTTTATTATGCTTGATTTTCTCTAATTGGAATTTACGTGATTAATATGTGATTTGTAGTCATTTGGTCAGGATTTTAATATTTTAGATCATCTTTGAGTTGTCCTGTGGATTTATACTTTGTAATATCTGGTTTAGATAGCTTAAATGCTATATCTGCATTCATTTTATCGACATATTCTTTTTATTGTCGATTTTTTGATAATAACTAGTTCATCAAGTTTCTATTTATTTATATTTTTCTGTTACTGCTTAAATATTTTTATTTTTATTATTGTAGCTTTATTTTCTAGGATGTAGAACTACACAATTTAAACGCGTTTTCGTTGAAGAATATGCTCCCTTTATTTCTTGCGATGGACTTGTCAGTAGAATCACGAGATTTAAAGATTTTGACTGTAAAATACCAGAAGTTATAGAAGAGGTATATGAATATCGTCGTGATAAATTTATAAGAAGTATTAGCAAGTGTGATACGAATGTGATAACAGATTATTTTGATAAAGGAAGAGAGGATGCGGTTATCAAACATATCTATATTCGTAATGAAGATGATGTTCATGCAAAAAGAACTATATTTTTTAACCATGAAGGTACGTTTTATCGGTAACAAGATAATATATGCATATACACCCGCTGACCCAGCCACGATTGGCTCCGGTTTGGCTATTATACTGTTATATTCTATTCAATTTATTTAACAGAGTTAAGTAAATATTATGAAATGCATTCATAAGAGCTATCAGAAATTATAATCCAAATAAAACTTGTGATATTAGCAATTAAATATAATACACCAAAAAATTGATTTTTATACTTTAGTTTTATTAAATTTAAGTACAATAAATAATTCTTCTCCTCATTGCTCATCAGCTTTTCCCTTTGAGCGGTCGCTATATTTTCACCTAAGCCTTTCTATTTCAAGTCCTCTGCCATACAGTCCTTCCATCTCCTCTGCGGTTTTTCTCTACCTCTCTTTAGCATAGTCAATTAGCCAGACAATTTGTGGTAGTTACAATTTTTGTTATTACCTAAGCCTATTTATAATATAAATTTACAGGAAGTAATATGTGCGTATATACATTCAATTTTTGACAAATTTACAATTTATAATTTTAATACCTATACCTACTTATAATTTAAATTTACAGGACGTTATGTATTCGTAGATACATTTTAATATCTGCTTATTATGTAAAAAAAAATTGTATTCAAATTGACAGGTAATGGATAATTTAGCTCAATTAGTTTTTCATACATTATTTTCTTACTTTGTCTGTACTGTCCACCCTCCAATATAAGGTGCTGCAGATCTTCCACTTTACCACAAGAGCAATATGGGTTATCAGTAATACCTATGCTGTGTTTGTATGCAGGAGTGAGTGCGTGGTTTGATCTTATTCTAATAATCGATGTATTCGACCGTTACATGATGGAAATTCATTTTATGTAACAATAAAACACTGAAGTGTTTTATTGATCTTATTCTGTTTATTGTTTTTATAAATAACCTATTTGTCTCATATTTAAACCATCTATCATTGAGAATTAGTGGTTGGCAAGCTCTAAAGTTTATTCCAGTTGTACTTTGGTTGTATAAACGTTGCCATCTTTGTTTGCAGTTGTTTCTACTGATATTATCTATGTCTGTTACTGGAAGAAGTGTGTTGTTTATTAGGTTTGGTTAAAGCTGCAGATCTAGCTAATTTGTCAACTTCTTCATTTCCTAATATTCCAGAGTGTCATTCGACCCAAAAAATAATAATCGAGCTACCTGCGGAAATAATATCATAATGTAACCTCTTTATTTCTATCTCAATATGGTTTAGGTTTTGATAGAAGTGAGTTTGTCCATAATGCTTCTAAAATCAGTCAGAATGAAATAATTATTCATACCAATAGAGGATATATATGTTAACGCAAGTAATAAAGCTGATAGTTTGGCAGTATATATTGAAGCTTTATTGGGCAATCGACATGATTCGTTGTAATAAGAATTCCAGTGAAACACGTTTTATTTTGAATTTTAGAGCCGCCAGTAAAAATATATTGAAATGAAGGCCACTTACCTTTAATTATTTTGTTGATCATACTTCTTGAAAAATTTGAATCCATATAATATGTTTCTATTATCTTGGAGAAGAGAGTATTAGGAGGTTGAGGATAAATTGCTGGTATTTTATTTTGATACAATTGTTCTTCAAATATTGTCAATTTTCTATAACTTTCAACGTATATGGGAGTTTTTTTGTTAGGCTAATATTTGTTGCTTAAGTCTAATATATTCAAATCACAAATATTTTGTAAATAGCTGAAGTTTTCTGATATAGCTCTAGCTACAAACTTATCAGTACAAAACTGTCTGCGTAGTGTAAGGGGTGGCTTTTTATCTTCAATTTCAATAATATTAATAAAAGTAGATTTTAAGTAACCAAGACATAGCCTCAAACATTTTTTATTCTTTTGGGTTTCAATTTTATTAAGATGTCCTGTTGACGCAGACCTATATAAATGACAACTATAGTTGAAAATTGGTCGAATCATAGAGCAATGATATGAATGAAGAGCAATCATAGAGCAACAACGCAATATTTGGGTCAGCTCCCAAACTGGTTTTACAAAATGCTCTAAGGATATTTATAAGTTTTCTGATTTTTTTTTAAATAGAATGAATTTGATCCTTCCATAACAGTTTACGATCCAAATATGTGCCTAGATATTTTACACAATTTTTGATTGGAAATTCTATTTTTCCTAATTTAAAGTTACCTTGAGGAGTTTGGCGTTTTTTGGAAAAAAAAACAAATTTCAGTCTTTGTAATTGATATTAATACGCCTAGAGAATGGTAATGATTTTTATACAATCTAATGTAGATTTGAGTTGACGCCTACAAATGTCAAGGGTAGTATGGGAGGTATACAACACAACATCATCTGCAAACTGCAATATATTAGAGTGTGGAGGTACTATCTGTTCTAGATCTATATTGTACAATGAAAAGAGAAGTGGACTTAAAATACTACCCTGTGGTATACCTATATTCGTTAGCCTTGGCGCTAAAAGTTTCTCATTTCAAGATTTTTAACTAAGTCCATCTATTCTTTTACAAGGATATAATGAAATCTGAAATTTTAACTGAAATACAATACAATATAGTCTTTCTATATTTTGGGAATTAAATTCTTATTTTGCTATATATTGTTAAAAATGTGTAATAATACTGATTTGTATTCTGTGGGTACAAAATATAACAGACAGTATGATATACAGTCCATTCCTGGAGATGAACTATTATTTTGTTTGAGTCCATAATTGAATTCCCACATTTCAAATCGTTTTTCTAGATTGGAGTATTCTCTGGAAACAATGACTGTAGCTTCGTTTATTTAATTTGGTATCCAAGGAGGTGAAATTTTAAAGTAGAAATCTTCTATCCATGCATTTTGCAGTTTATCGGGAGTTTATTGGACTATTTTCGGACTTTGTAGCGATGTACTTTCTTCCAGACGTCGCTGATTGGACTGTGGGAGTTAAGGCTTTCGCAGTAATTTATCCAACTTTGTTTTTTTATAATTTTAAATATTTTGTAAATTATGAATATTGGGATTTGTTTTATTTCATCTATATGCTGTTTCGCACTTACTATCCCACCATGGTTTTGGAATCTTTTCTGTAGGATATTTTTTATTTTTTGATACTCTTGGAATAGCAATGGATGCGCATCTGTTTATTTCATTAACTAATTCCTCATAAGTTTAAGGAAGTTTTCTGAAGAAAAGTTGGAAGAATAATAATTCCAATTTGCTTTATTTAGATTCCATCTTTTTTGTGTATTGTTACCAGGTGGTGTTGCTCGTTTGGAATTTTCTAAGGAGGTGAGGTAATATTTTGATGACATATCTAGCCATACAATATCTTTCATTTTTTTTTAATGGAAGACCCTGTATATTAATATGACAGTTTGTAGAAAATATTTTTCATCTTTTCTTTTGGTATGATTAGGGTAAGTTCGGGAGAAATGGTCCAACCAGGAGAGATGGACCAGTCTATTATTTCCGAACTGTGATGCTCGAGCGCAACCATCGTTTGTTGTGAGTATGCTTCAGTTACAGTGAAGACATGCTGTTAGTTGTGTGGTGTTGTTGTTAATATTTATGTTATAGTAACATAGTTTTAGATTTCAATTAAGGTTTACGTGATATCGACGTAGCATTCTTGTAGCGATGTCTATAAACTTGTAGTAACCAAACCTAAAAAAGCCGCCATGTGTATGTTAAAAATGCGAATTATGAGGTGGTCCATCTCACCCGGACTTTTGGAAGAGATGGACCAGTACTTTTTTGGTAGCTGGGCCACGTATTACCAGTAGAGGGGCGTGGACGGAAGATTCATTAATCCAAGCGGTTAATGCGGTGGAAAATAAAGAAATTGGTGTCAATGCTTCTACTAAAGTTTATCAAATTCCTAAGACCACTCTTAAAAGAAGGATTAAAAAATAAAAGTTTACGAAAGACAGCTTAAGGTTTTCCTCCATTTTAGGAAGAGTAAATGAACAGAAGATTGTAGGCCACATAAAAAAGTTAGAAGCTCATGGGTTTACTCTTTGCAGGGATTCAGTGAGAAGCATGGCGTTTGAACTTGCTGAAGAGCTAAAACTACCTCACACATTTAACAAGGAAACTTGAAAAGCTGGTTATGATTGGCTAAAGTCTTTTCTTTTAATAAATCCTTCTCTTACTATTAGAAAATCAGAAGGTGTATCTGTATTCCAACCTAAGGGAATAAACACGAGGTGTGTGAAAGAGTACCTACTTTAAGTTACTCGAAAGTGTTATGAAAAACAATTTGGTTGAAAAGCCTGGGCACATTTTTAACATGGACAAAACCGTGCGGGCAAGAACTTGAAAGTTGAGTTTATGGACGGGATGCCTTCTGGCTCAGTTGTAAAAATGTCACAAAAATCTTCTTATGTCACTATTCAAATTTTTCTGCACTGGTTAAAAAGTCATTTCCAACCTAGAAAACCAGCCGGGAAAGTATTTCTCTTACTTGATGGTCACACTTCACACAACAGTTCCTTGTAAGTCCTAGTGTATACGGAGCAAGAAGAAACCATTTTGATGAGCATTCCACCTCATACATCGTACTGGCTACAAACTTTGAACCGATCCTTTTTCAAATTACTTAAGTCCTACTTTTATAGTGCTTGTAATTATTTCATTACAAACAATCCATCCAGAAAGATCAATTGTCTGCAGTTTGGAAAACTTCTCAAATCTGCATGTACCAAAGTCACAGGTGTACAAAATAGTGTAAGTGGATTTCAAGCTTGTGGCATAGTCCCTCTCGATATATCTGTAATACCAGCCTACGCCTACCTAGAGCCCAATTCCTCCGGTGCAGTGCCTGTTGTCCAAGTATTGGCGCACACTCTTGCTAGTGCAACCGACGAGGTTAATTCTGTTGCCTCCAATGCAAAACTTATCGGCCAATACGTCAATACTGTAACTAGTATACCAACAAGCGACACTGTTGATTCTTCTGTCTTCTGTGCAGACAGAACTCAATTTGATCTTGCTAGTATCCCCAGTA